GCGGAGGGCAAGGACAGTCTAGGGGAAATATAAGGTCATTCAGATTAAAATGATGGCTGAAGACGATTGTGATTCCAAAATAATGAATGAGGACTTAATTACGTTACATAATTCATGCCGTGTATTGACATCAAACAACACTTGGTGAAATCACCAACGATCCCTAAGGTGAACACACCCTTTATTCAAACGGACCAGAAGCAGCTACCGAAATACAAATCACCGTCCTAACCTTATTCCCATTCAGCAGCTGCTGCTCTGTCTGTGTTATCCCAGCCGCGGCCGGCGCCCCGCCCTGTCCGTCGGCGCCGCTCCGCTCCGCAGCGGATCAGCCGAGTCGCCGGCGACGGCTCCGGTTACCGCTGTCGATGTGCGCCGCCGCCCGTCAAATCTGCCCGCGGCGCATTAGTATGCCGGTCGTCGCCGGCGGCGCGCGCCGGTAAGCCGCCGCTAATAGGCCCGTGCTCGGCCGTCGCCGCCGACAGCAGGCGGCGGGTGAACCGCTGATCCCGCCGGCGGAAAACAACGACGCGCCTGTGTCGGAGCACCTCGTGCTGTCGCTCCCCACTGGTCTTCACTGATGGGATCAACGGCCTACGGTCCACGGGAAGCAAGGGCTCACTTTGTGTGCTCGGAAAAAAGTGCCGGAAGAATGCACTCGACGCTTATGATTTTCTACTCATACTTCGCCCAAAAGACGAAGGTAAAGGTGGCCTGGCCACCTATATACGCAACTATCCAAGTATGTGGCTTACATGACACTGAGAGTTGGTTTTTGGGTAGTTTCTATAGAGTGATTAGTGATTGATATTCGATTAATTTAACCCTCGCATGTGTGCGGCGTTTTCCAGCTTCTAATGTGTAGGGGGGGGGGTCGGTTGGACCCCCCCTTGCCGTTTGGCCCCTGATCGAGCTAGAGCTTCGCGGAAAAAACGAGCGTGTTGCCCGTGACGAGAGGAAGCCGATGATACCCAATTTTAAGGTCCTAGGTCATTGGTTGACCTTCCAGGTCAGGTCAATGACCCAAAGCCGGGAAAATCGGGACCTATTAAAAAGTCGTAAAGTGTGGCTGCTAAGGGGTTTTTCGGGGTGCTGATCACGAATATCGTGTTAGTTTTGATCACAGATGATGTCTTTAAGCATTTAGACCAGGTCGGGTCAGGTCAGGTCAGGTCAATCAGTAGGCGTCGTGACGGGTATTCGTAGTACGTGTCAACCGCCTCTGACAGCTTCGTAACATGTTACGAAGGCACCAAAACTACTTCGTAAATGTTCAAATGGTTGCTTAATTCGAATTCAGCTCCAAAAACTAGCCTAGAAACATGTAAAACTCGAAAAAGTGAACCGAGGTCACCCGAGGTCACCGAAGGTCAATGACCTGACCTGACCTTCAGGTGACCTTGACACCCACCCTAATGCATGGGAGCAACATCAAATCACATGTTTGAACGTTTGAAACCACGAAAAGCTTGCAAACGCGCGGCTAATGCGAGCCGACGTACGCCGAATCGCGATTCCGGCCAAACATGGTCTCGGAAAAGAGGTCACAGGTCAAAGGTCATTTGGGTCAGGGTCATGAAATTTTCAGGGTAGGTGTCAAATTGATCAATGCGAGGGTACTGAAAGTTTCGTCGCGATCGGCCGCTTTTTACGCGAGTTATTCGCGAAAAACCATGGGGGGGGGTCCATCCGACCCCCCCCCCTACACATGCGAGGGTTAAAGATCCTAGCAATCCAAATGCGAATCGCATCGGAAAAATATACAGGTTCAGGTTCAACAGAGATGCCCCGTGACTTAATCTGTACCGCTTGTTTTTTTTTTTCAAGTTAACAACGTTTTCATTCGCTTTAACTCAGGCATTTGGCCGGTAGTTTGGCAGAGTCCAGTTCTGGCGAGTTTGTACGCCGGCCCCTGATCGGAGTCTGCGATAGAGCGCCAGCAAATAGCACGAAAAAACGGCAACTTTGTGCGACCGGGCCGGCGCCGGGCCACCCCTAATTCCCGGGTTATGGCCGGGCGCTGCCAAACGAGCGCCACTAGCGCTGCCCAATCTAAACGGGCCGCGGCATCCGTGGATTGCTGAGTCGGGAGTGGGGAGCGGCGGGGGAGGGAAAGATAGGGAACTTGGGTGGATTCACGGACTAAAATTGAGTTCTATAAGATATGGCGTCTGTGGCGATGATAAGATGTGGTGTCTCAACCAGTCTCAACTAAGACATTTTATTGTGATATGAAAAATTGTTTACGCTGGCTTCCAATTGCAAATACCTATGCATATACAGGTCAATTTATGTAGGTGTATGTAGGTCAACTTATTCCCATTACAATTTATCAAGAAGCTTATCATATAAAGGTAAATTGTAGTCTAAAATTTATCAGCCCAAAAGGTAAAATATATGTCATTGATAACCAGCTCGACGCAACAAGAAACTATTGCAAGTCACTCCAAAGTAGGACAAATAATCAATGGGCTTGTCGAACGAAGAGCACTCGAAGTTCGACGGCTTCTTTTGGAAAGTATTGAGACCAAGTGCTACTTTGGCAGGAAGCTAGGGAACAATACCAAAGTTTAAATGGAAAAAGTACATCGAAGACAAGTAAACAAGTTCATTGGCATAAGACGATCACCCGCACCATAAACATGAGGTTCTTCCCTTAGCGCCTGAAACGGTGAATGTTTCACTCATCACAGCCGTCTAACTCACCAAACTTGATAGAGAATTTGCCAAGTGTTTTGCAAAATGCCTACTCGTGGGATATTAATGCGCAATTAACCTGTTGATTGACCCCGAGACCCAAGAACTTTAAAGGCCGCCGTCCACTGCGACGGAATTCCGTCCGGAGTCCGTCCGGAATGTCGCCGCACGCTGGCCGCATCCGGTCCGGATGCGGTCCGGATGCGGAGAGCTAATAAATGTTTCCTATCACTTATTACCAAATAAAATATTGCAAGTAACCAGCAGCGAATACTCTTGCCATTCTAAGGAAATAATTTTTACTTACTTCATGATGATCGAGTTCCAATTCTTCGTACTATTCACAATGTTTGCCTCCGATACGGCCCCAAACCAAGTCTGTTCCGGACGTTCCGGATGCGGAAAAGTTCAACGCGTCGGACATCACTCTTCCGTCTCCGTAGCAACCGCATCCGAAACGCATGCGGAGAGCTGACGGAAAATCAACAGCTGATTGCCGTTCGGATGCGGTCCGGACGGAGCGCACACGATTTCCGTACGGACCGGATGCGCCCATAGGGTTCTGTGTTAAATTCCGTACGGACCGCACGCGTTCCGCACAGTGGACGGCGGCCTTTACCCTATTCCTGGCGGGCTCCGCCGGGACAAGAAACTGGCGGGGGGGGCCGATTCGGCCCCCCCCTTCAGATCTCAAAAACTACACATCGCAGCGACAAACGGTAAACGGCATCGGATACGCACGGTCAAGATCTACAATTTTTACTAAGGTCATTTTCAGGTCAGGTCAAAGATGACGTCACAGGGGTCGAAAAAGTCAAAATGGCGGCGCTAGATATGGAGAGAGTTTTTCTCGAATAACTTTCGAATTAGTCAAGATAGGAACAAACTAAGGGCATCATCGTGATCCTCTCGTCAATCCGCATCGAATGATATATATGTTGACCTCGAAAGGTCAAGGTCAAAGGTTGACCTCAGGTCACGTGACCTCGAGGTCATCATGTATAACATTCGATGCGTCTTGACGAGATGAACACAATGAGACCATCCACGCGTCTGTATCTTGTTCCTGTACGGAGTTCCTGTACGGTTTTGCCTGTCCCGTAGCTCAGTTGGTAGAGCACCGGACTCCCGGTAGTGAGAGCCCGGGTTCGAGTCGCTCCGGCGCTCGATATTTGAGACTCCTGACGGGGATGGTCTGCGGTTGGTGGGAGCAGCCGCAGCCAGTTGAAGTCAGTTGAGTGGGACAGGCCGTGTCCGGCTTTGAAGGGCACGTTAAACTTTGGCATCTAAATTCTCCCGTTACCCGGAATTGCGCGATCGGACGGTAGGGGTCGGGGCCTACGCAACAAGCTCTGCTTAGCGTGGGCCTCGGCTCTGTCAATCCGTCCATTCAAACATTCGAGCTAAATTTATTTAAAAAATAAAATAAAAAAAGTTATTGGCCAAAAACCTTTGGTGACCTTTGATGACGTCACATGACCTCACAGCTGCCCAACAGCAAAACAGACCTCAAGGTAGTGAAGGTTGATCGTATATGAAGTCATGTATGGTATATGGGGCCATTCCGACCCGTTTTAGTGGTAAAAACAGGGAGTTGATTTTTCCCCCATTGACTTATAATGGGGAGGTCGCGAAACTGACCTGACCTTAGGTCACCGATATCAAAATTCCGAGATATACAAATTGCACATACTGGTACCCTAACTAAAGCCTGAAAAGAAGAAATTGATCGGTCAAAAACTCTAGCTCTGGCGTGATTGCAAACTTTTCTGAGGTAGGGTCACCAAACCGCCTCTGGTGACCTGACCTGAGGTCAGATCAACTCAAAATTTTCAGACATGTTGCGTAGAAGCCTTTGGGAAAAGTCAGAAAATTTGAGCTTCCTAGTTCAACGCGTTTGGGAGAAATAACCAAAAAACCTCAGGAGGGGGGGGCTCCTGAGGCCCCCCCGCCAGGAATAGGGTTAAGGGTGGTTGAACGCGTTGAACGCATCGTTCAGGGTCCAGAAGAGGTAAAAGTTAAAAAGCATCAGTCTGATTAGTTTTATATTTCATCTTTGATCTATTCATAATTCAATTGTCAGCAACCTCAGGATCTTGAATTTACAATTCATTAGCTTGAGTTGTAAAAGTTTAATGGATTAAACATTTCTTTCAAGAGTCAAGAATCAGCCCATTTATGCCATACCCACTATCCTTACGGAAATACACGCAGTACGAGCTTGGCATGAGCATTGTCTTCACACCACACATCACGGGAATTGAGCGGCTGGGGAAGCCACTTCTCCCGTCCCTGGACCTCACCTTTTTCAGTGTGCCCTGCTGCGTGCCCAGCAGCGCCACCGTGTGTCGACCCGTGGAGGTGACGGCCACGCTGGTGACCCGCTGGTCCCAGGACAGCACCGGCTCGGCCGTCAGAGGGTGCACCGCAGAGATCTTCAGACCCTCCGAGCAGAAATGGCGAATTTTTCCAGTCGTCTGAAAGACAATGGAACATAATGCCATCATCGTGATTATTTTCTACTAATGTTGGATGGTGCTATGAATAATCCAGCAATGGAATACCTGAAAACGATCCGGAAATAGCTGCAGTAATATTGGGCTTCCCTGCTCCGAAAACCATCGCCAGGCGGCCAACAATTTAAACGGGAAATTGGACGGGATATGCATAGATGGCCGGAATCAATTCGAAGCAAACGAATGCAGGCCGTTCTATAATAATTTGCAATCATTTCAGGCGATTGGACGTCATTCTGATTTGGAGAAATATGCGTCCACAATGGCGTAAAATGGACGATGGAAAAGAATGACTTATAACGAATGGAGAGCCGGTGCAACAAAAATACCTTGCCGAGAATTTCAGCATCAGATACGCCCTTTGTTTTCTACTGCAGGGGCTCTACTCATTTTAATAAGTCGATTGTTGAGGCATTACATACGTGTCGCAGGCGATTACGACGGGGGCGCGGAATGCGGTACTTAATACTCGCATGGTTTACATGCATTCTGTCTTGGTGACCTGTGGCTCGCTGTGACTCAGCGAAACACACTCGTCCTCATCCATACGTCTGAATTCCCCTTTCACACTTGCTCAGTCCCTGTTGTATTCATTCGTTCATTCATTCATTCATTCATTCATTCATTCATTCATTCATTCATTCATTCATTCATTCATTCATTCATTCATTCATTCATTCATTCATTCATTTGTTCATTCATTCATTCATTCGTTCATTCATTCATTAACTATTTTCTTTATTCCTGTTTCATTAATTTATCAGGGAAGCTTGACGCTTTGTTGGTTTTTATTACTTTACGTCTAAGCTAAGGGCACAAAACACTACCTACCATGCATATTGTACAAATGAGCAAGATGTTAAGATCAGAGACAAGTGACTAAGGAAATGGAAAATGAATTTTGAATATTGCCATGTGAATAAAAAAAAGATTTTCCTAAATGCCTGACACGGCATACTCACCCCGGCCTTCGGGCAGTGTCCGTTGAGGATGGGTCCCGATATGTACTCCATGTTCCGGTACTGCATCGAACCGTTGAAGCACATGTGGATGTTCTCGCTGAACATGTCCTCCACCTGTTTCATGGAGAAGACACAGATGCTGGCGCGGTCCTGCGGCTCGTTGGAGTAGCCGTGGCTGGGTGAGAAGGCAGCGACGAGCACTCTGTCGCCCTCGAGGATGCCGGCGTCCTGCGAGAGGTCGTCGCCCGGCTCAGCCACCCTGGCCGCCTGCAGCAGGTTGTCGCCGCCGCAGCTCAGCGTCATCTCCACGTAGCTGTCGTAGTTGGCGTCGGTGACGCACGTGCGCACGATCCGAGAGATGTAGCCCCGCTCCTGCTGGCCAGGCAGATGGGAAAGCCGCTGCACCGTTAGAAAGTAGGCGTACTCTTTCTCATGGAAGCCGTACACGTATTCTACCAGAAAGTGGTCCCGGTACTTGACATCCACTGTCAGCATCGAGTGCTTGTTGACCGAGCGCTCGACAAAGTCCAGATTGTCAAGTCGCCGTGTGGATATCGCCGGCACAGTGTTGCGGTAGATGCCCACTAAGGTGAAGGTGGTGGCCACATACAGAACGTTGGAGGCTCCCCACGCGTGGTAGTGCTCCGGCCCGATGAACGCCACTGTCGACGAGTTGGCGTCGTTGGCGGCGATGGCCTCGGGCAGGTCCTGGCTGGGCAGGGAGATGTTGTTGAGGTCGAACTTGGTGCAGGCGCCCTGCAGCACCGAGCCGCACGCCAGCAGTGTCCGCGACTCCTGGTCGACCACCAGCACCTTGTTGACATTGTCTGTGGGCTCGGTGGCCACGTCGGCGGGACAGCCGGAGGCGGGGCATGAGAGCGGGTTGTCCTGGCGCGGCCCGGTGACCACCTCCTGCAGCCGGGCCAGCGTCGAGGACAGCTGGTAGATCCGGTTGACGCCGGCCACGTACACCTGGCCCGAGTCGGGGCTGAGCCGGAGGTGGGTCAGTCGGCTGACCTCAGCGCTCAGGTCGAGCTGGGTCACCACCGGGTCATCGGCATAGGCGACCGACAGCAGCAGCGGCAGCAGCAGCGCCGCCGCCGGCCGAGACCGGCAAAACATCTTCAAAGTACCCGTGTGCTTCTTATCTTCATTTCAAGATCCTGCAAACAGAAACCATTGTCATTTTGGTGCATAATCTTCATGCCTCATTCGAAAAAAATCACCCCGTTTAGTCAGGGAGGGCATGCTTCTGATTACGGAGCGAGCGAAGCGAGCCTAGTCTTTCCTTAGAGTAACGGAAATTTCTGAGTATGAGCGGCCGGCCGGCCGTGCGGACGCTTTTGAGAGGCTTATATCTCAGCAACCCCTTAACCGATTTACATGCGGTAATTTTTGTAGGGGAGCTTCATTCCTTCTACCAAGTATTGGACTATTCCCCATGCATATGGGTGACCCTTATGCACGTGCTACGTGCAAAACGAAGAGGTGTCAGTTTTGTAATAGTTGCAATATCTCGGCAACTACTTGGCCGAATGCGCTGAAAGTTGGCATGTAGGTAGGCACCAACTATAGGCAATGCATATCCATGTGCCAGAGTTGGGGTGCTGCTGCACGTGCGCACGTGCAGGGGTCGTTTCCAGATCTCGAGAACGGCTGGACCGATGGCGCTCAAATTTTGTACACGGTTAGGGACCAGTTAGTAAGGTGCCGTGCACAAGTCAGTTGGGACCCATTCTGCACGTGCGCACGTGCAGGGTACCGCTTCCAGATCTCGAGAACGGCTGGGCCGATTGTGCTCAAATTTGGCACATCGCTAGAGACCGGTTAGTAGGATGCCGTGCACAAGTCAGTTGGAGATACCACCTCGAAATTTCGCACGTGCAAGGCTCACCCTCTCCCTCGCTCCGTTAGTCGCCCCAAAACGCGTTTACTGATATAATATTCATACTTTTTCAACCGATTTACGTTTGGAGCTAGGATAATTCTGAATGATGAATCCTTAGGTGCCTGTATCGTCTCATCGGCTCATTTATCATGCCATACTCTGCATGGCAATAGAGCAATCATCATGCGAATGGACTCGCCAATCGTTTCTCGCCCCGAACGTCACCGGTACCGAGCCCGGTGACGCCACCTACGGCGCTAAGTGCCGTAAATTGGGACTTATTGTCAGCCGCCACGGCAGAGCGTTATAAACGGCGTCCACTGGCCACCCGCCCGCCGCGAGACCTCCATAAATCCGACAAACGGAGCCGGTCGGTCCATCGATCATCGGAGGGCGCTCATATTCCTGGGCCACCCGTCCATTGGCGGCTCTATAAATCTGCGTTATCTGGGGACACAACTGCCGGCCAGACACGCCAAGGAGCAAAAACGAGTACCAGACCATCCAGGTTCTTGAAAAGCTGTGTTGTGTGCTCCTGTCGTTTCCGACATGCGTGCGTTTCGGCCGGTAATGCCTCAATGCATTTAACACTGACAAGTCTTTGCAATGAGATAATGCAAATCCGCACACACGCGGCACGCTGTTGCCAAATCGTGTAATGACCAAGAGAGAAGTGTTTTGCATTCGGCCTCCCTATTACATTCCATCTGCCCTCCTTGAGTGGGCACTGCCCAGTCCTGTGCTCTGCTTATGTGGGCTTATCATCATGCACAGCTTGTAACGGGGTGAGATCGCAAAGCCAGGACACTCGAGACGGGCGGAGCTCGTGGCTGTAAGAGAGGGAAACATTGAGCGAGCAACGCCCATTCTCGAACAGTTTCGTGTTGCACTGGCGTGAAACGATACACTGTTTGGTAAGGAGAATTGCAGAAAGGAAATATGTCTACTGTCTGTTCTATATGCTCGTAAGATGTTGCAGGTACGAAACAGCATTGCACCTTCAAGCAAGAGAACGTTTAAGTCAAACAGCATTCAGAGCCGGAGACTTCAAGACCCGACTGCAGACGAACACCAACCGCTATTCATCAGCGCTTCCTCCAGCCCTGAGATTCCATCGCTCTCACTCGCTGTAGCCCTTTCTTGTTACCAAACTCCCGACAGCGACACCCAGCGGGAAGCGCATTCTCCTCTGAACCGTGACCAATAACAGACGACTCCGGTGCACGATGCGAGCTCCCCGCCGATGTACGGTTCGGCTTCAGCGGGGTCACGACACCGCGCTCTGTGTGCGTGCTGGGAGACCTGGCCAGCGCACCACTGCCCCATCACCACACCTCAACTCAGCTGGCTAATTGGAGCCGCGCCAGCTGAGCGACGCACGACGGACTTCGAACGCGCCGCGGAGCGGCTCGAACCCGGCGCAGGTACGCATCGAGTGGGCTAATTAACAGCCTGTCCTGCTGACGGTGCTTTGCCGGGTGGTGGGTCGGTCTCGCTGTGAGCAGGCCGGGACAGACAGGGACGGAGGCGGCAGCGGACTCCACCCAGCTCTGAGGCCTATCGGACATCACGCTGACACGGCCGTTTGTCAGGACCGGCTCCCACACGCCGCGCCGGGACGGGCAGATGAACTCCGCTGGAGGCGGGATGGGGCGGTGGAGTACCGCCGGGCTGAGGTCTGGGGGACTCGGTCAACGGACTGGGACATTGCACTGTCCAGCGGATGGAGAACTGCCATGCGGCTGTGACAGATGACAAATGCAGCCTCCCAGTCACAGGAACTATCGCTATGCTAAATCGTAAATACAAAGGACATTGTGCTTGACGGATTGTGGTAGATGGTAAGTGACATTGTTGCGGTGCTAAACGAAAGTGCTGCTAGGGGCGCTAAACAATATTCCAAAAGCCAGGGGCAATGGGGATCTCAGGAACATCGCCGTAAAATCAGCTGTGCAGATTGCTTTCAGAGCACCGGTTAATTAAATGTTCTGTCAAAGCTTCAAGAACATACGGGCCCCTGACCCTCTAATCTCTATGTGCCTTTTCATGGGAACAAAGCATCCTCTTGCTGTTAGCGTGGATGACACTGAAGAGACTTCTGTTCATGGCTAAATCGATTTTGCCGTATATCCTGTCGTTGCACTGCCATTAAAACCCGACACTAACAGGCGAGCATAACCTCTACTCAGAAGACAGCTGGCGCGTGCGATGTACCCGGTGCCTTTCAGAGTCAGACACAAACCGGCCTTTTGCAACTCACTGCCATCGGGTGCTGCAACGCGCAGCCGGCCCTCACGCACCCCTGTTCACCCCTACCGCCCCCGCTGCACCCCTCGGCACCCCTGCCGCCCCCCCCCCCCGCTGCACCCTCCCTCCTGCACCCACAGCATCCTGCGCTGAGCATTGTGAGGCGGTGAGCGCTGCGCCACCTCCCGCACCCGGCGGGGGACGGCTGCACAGGCGGCAGTCGGGCTTTATGGTTATGTCGCGCGTGTAAACGAGTCGACAGGAATTTACGGCTGATCGGCGCGGCCAGTTCGGTGGAGAGGGGCTCGATCGACCCGCGGGAGGTGGTGGTAACGACTTCAGAAGTGCCGCCGCCACAGGAGGGATGGACATGGGCATCTGTCAACTTACGGCTGTTGCCGGGACGTGCGACTGTTGCCGGGACATCTACCTGCGACTGTTGCCACTCCGGTGTCACCTGCGTGTGGTGAGGCGGGATGCGCGAGGGAGCATCCGTCTTGGTTGGAACTGCATTTTTTGCTCTTTTCTATCGTGCCGACGATAATGGTCTTCTTGAGAGTGATGGCCCTCTTATCACTCGATTTAATTACGAGTAGAACGCCGTTGGAGGGAAATTTATGCATCCTGTTCGTATGCCTGGAAGCTTGTCCGTTTACTCAGTCCTTAAACGAAATACGCTTGTCGGCAATATTGACAGTCAGTCAGTTAGAGGAAGGACTGTGTGGTCAGCTACGAATACAACCAGCTGCGCATACTCGTATTTCCAAAAGAATAGTCGAGTGATATTATTATTGAAGCACGCACTTACTCTCGCTGGCGAATTTCTCGTCACATCAGCCATTCCATATGCCGAATAACGCCTCTACCGAATTTACGACATGAGAGGAGTTCGAGGCGAGCTGTCTATTACTACGCATGGGAAATGATAGCGAGCCTTACCAGGCCAGTGACCTGAGCGGTCCGGAGACAGGGCGACAGCTATTGGCCGCTCCAGACGCATCCGATCACGTGATCAAGCGGCTTAATATGTAAATGGAGATTTACCCAGAGAGTGATGGCTTTGCAGGTCGCGCTGTTTAATCGATCGATTAGACAGAGATTTGTGATGAAAGGATCGGTCAGACAGGCTAATGATCATTTGTGCTTCCCTGGGAATTTATTTTATTGTTACTGACTACTGTTTCCTCTCCGAGGTATCTCTTTTCGCTAATCTTGCCCAGTACTACAAGTCTTCAAATACTGAAGCACATTAGTTAAACCTGCTTCATTCTCTCGGAACACGACCTATGCCCTGTTGCATTTGTGCCAGTAGTTTATGTCTGCTAGTTCGATAGCATTTCTGATGTTCAAGGTCGTCAGTCTCCGCGGACCAGCGTCAACACTGGGCGAGAGTGGAATCATCGAGATAATGCTGTGCTCTGACAGCTCTTGGAACTACTAAACAATAAACATAAGATATGGGAGAGGGACCCTCAGGCCGGTCCTCGGTAGTCGGTGTTCGCCAGTCGGCACCCCTCCCTGACAGCAGCATGCGGGTCCATCGCCAGCTGCCTGCACCTGGCTTTGACAGGGTCGCCCGATAGGTCAAAACTATGTCCAAACACAGAGCGGACCGATAAAAAACGAGATAATATCAAGTATCAGATGAAAATGATGGATGGTGTAATACTGTAAACCGATATTCGTTGCAAATTTTAATTGCAGGGGACAAGGAGCAGAAAACAAAATTTACCAAATCAAAATAATCAGAGGTTGTATAATAGTACCACGCAATATTATCAATTCGACTGATATGAGTCCGATCAGTTACAACTTTTTGAACCCTTTTACTGGTGAGCTTTCTCAACCAGTTACCTAACTGGTATGTGTACATGTGTGTGTGTGTGAGTGGAGGAGGGCGATTCGATACCTTTGATATCTCAAGAAGGGCAAGGATGATTTTAATGCGACAAAAGGCATGCAATTGCTCTCAAAATAAATCACACTGCAATTAAAAAGTCGTACGAATAGGGTTCAGGGGGGCAAAGCAGTTATGTTTCAAACGTTATTTCAGCCGTTGTTATTCGAAACTAATTGAAGAACACACATTTAGACATAGTGTTGATATGTGATGACAGCGACATTGAAAGGACACGCTCAGATAACATCTAGATAGAACATCATTTGTCATCACGATGTGTTGAGCAGAGAATCTTCAAAAATAATTGGCTCCATGCTTGACCACAGATCAGAAATCAACTTCAAGCGTTGATAGTGATCAGCTATGGTGGCTAATAGTAACGACGCATCACGAAAAATATGACAAATGAGCGTTGACATACTGACAGCTCCAGAACACGTTACATGGTCCAAACACATTCCATTGGTTTAGTCAGAATTGTGTGCTAATCTATGGAGGGATTACAGTTAAATGCCTACATTCAAACACGATAAAACAAAGTCGGGATCGGATACAAATGATTTCGTGGAACAATTAGGCTTTTGGCACTTAAATATTGCTCTTAATGTTGTACAATCGCGCACTTAAATGTTGGCCAATTTCCATACACCAATTTTCATTTTAACAGCAGAAGCATACAAGAAAAAATAAACATATAAGGTGAGGCCCAAATTGCGCATACTAACGGCTCTTGCTGGTCATGGCTACTGCAAAATAAGGCACTTATGTGGTTCACTTTCTGGCGTGGGGTAAATTCAGGACCAAAAGTGTGTGTTGGGGGTTTCCCCGGGGTAACAGCCATCGTTTATCTTAATGCATGGGGCACTCGGATGAATTGCACCGGCCAATGCATCATCGGAAGTATGTCGTAATTCTCCCGGCTAATTTATCCGTGCTCTTTGCTGTTGTGAACGCCCAGGAGACCTTGCCCACAAGTGAATAGTAATCTGTTCTGTAAGCACATTACCACACAACTGGCGTAACTGGCGTGTCCATAAAACCTCGACAGAGCTAACACGACAAATCACAGCCCACTGTCACGCAGACAGTCTGTTGACACATGTCCGTAGCCCGGGGGGGGGGGGGGATCCGTTTAACAGTCATATGGCGGGACATTGGTGGAATTGTGGAATGGTCTGTTGGTGCCATTGGCTTCCCTCTTGTGGGGGGAGGAGGATAAAGTGCGGAGAGGACGAGGAGTGACGGTCTCACCACATATTTACTTATCGTAAATGCTTGACTCTGGTTTGTAAGAGATGATTGCTTGCCCCGTCTCGTCCATCTCTGTACCACGTCCGTCCGGCCACCATTGCTCTAACCCAGGGTGCGGCACACAGACCTGTAGGACGGCCGCACCCCTGCACCCCCGCCGCCGGGCCCGACATTAGCGCGGCGCGGGTGGTGCCCCACATAATTACAGGTTACCGAGGACCTGCAACGTCGCTGCAGTGCGCGGACGGCAGAGCCGCGCGGCTATTACACCCGCTAATGAGGTGATCCACCAGGTTCAGCGCTAATTGCTGCTGGCGGTATCGGGAACAACGCGAATTAACTTCATGTTAGATAGGTGCCGGAGCCCTGAGTTGCCGAGCATTGGGCCCCCGCCCCTATGACCCATCCGGGCCAACCTGGGTACCGGTCCCACTTGAAAGGGACCGGTCGGCCGCCCGGGCGGGCGGGGTACCGGCCTGTCGGGTCGGGTCGGCGCTCCCCTCGCCCGGGCGGTGGTTAGGGGGCACCCCCGGGAAAATGATTTTCCGGGGGTGCGGGCGGGGGCTCGTGGCCCGTCTGGCCGTCAAACATTAAAACTACGTTTATTGTAGGGTAGTAGTTCTCTTGCCCGTCTTTCCTTCCCAACTGTATTCCTTCTCCGTTTTTTTTCTCGTTGATGTTACCTCTCATTTTCGTTATATTGCTTAAATTGCATTAATTTTCTACTCCAACCACCTCGGAACTGGCCTCTGTGGGCTGTCTGACAACAAGCTCTGCTTAGTTGGACAGCTTTACAGAGGCTCAGTGAATGACCTTGCTTGAATTTGACCAGAGATGACCATCTACGACCATCTTCCATGTATGTATGACTGCTCCCCCTCTAATCCCTTCCTCCCACTAACAATACCCTGTGTAAGTGTGCATCAGTGGGCGTTTCAGGCGTAGAAGGGCAGTCACCAACTGTTTTCAGTTGTGACTACTTTGCTTCTCTTAAGCTACTATATTAACAGCATGCATACTCCACTGATATCTCTCTCGTTTTTTGCATTTTTTTGTTTTTTTCCTTACTCTTAGCTGGGAGTGCCGCGACTTATCATTTTAAGTTCACTGGTGTTAACGTAAGGTTCTGTGTGTCGCTGGGATAGAGGGAGGGGGCACTCCTGGTCACCTGTTCATGGGTGGCGGTGTAGAAAAAAAAAAAAAATAGGTGGTAATCGTTAGTTTAAAGTCGATAAGGAGCTCGTCTGGCGCTATCTGAGGTAGTATGGATTCGTTTCTCAGGATTTCCTAGTCGTGAGATAGGAAGGATGATATTTAATGGATTATTCAATGTAACATGGAGATAAAGGGGGTCACATTGGATCAGTTGTTAAACCTGCCAAGGAAATTCATATTTGAAGAAACGCTTCTGAACCTTGTAACATTTTAAAGGCACCAATTTAGCACATCCATTGTGCTTTAAATACATAACATTTTAACTCCTTAATGTTATTTTAATTCCGGCATTTAGGGCATTTGCCTCGCAACCTCAGGAATCGGCAAAGCTTTGCTTTAGCCTAGAAATATAACAAAACAACGTCGCTGAAAACGTTTGTTTTTCATTACACTGCAACGGATATTCAGGCGAATTCTGATGAGTTTTAAAAATTGGGGAGCTTTTTTTGGGGGGAGTACGCTCCGCGGCCCCGCAGCTTCCAAAATCACCTTCCTGGACCCACCACGCATTTAGCTGGCATTCAGATCAAAATACGCGTTTCCATATTCTCGCAAGCATTGCTTCCTACAAAATAGCTAGACGATGATGTGAATTAATGTGTGCCTTGCTTTCAATGATATAGGTAGCCATGATAGCCGAATACCTATGTAACGTCATTCAGCTCGCTCCGGCTGCGCCAGGTCGTGGGAATTTTGATTGATTGTTGGCTCCATCACATGATCTCGGATGCATCCTAATGAATTTGTATTTAATGGCGATGGGCTCCTAATGTGCCACTGCACTGATGCATAATTGATGTGTTTTCTTAACTGAATCGGTCTGAAATTCCTTCGAAAATATATAAAAAGAAAATGTTCGTATTAGGCGTAACAAAATTTATTCAGCTGTTCAGCCGGCAGTTTTTTTTAGGCAGTCACCCTCACAACGCTGAAATCAGTGTGTGCCGACTTATATGCGGCTGCTTTTCACGCACGATTGTGCTCTCGTATACCTATGAAAACAGCAAGGGGGGACGTAATGCCCTACGCCTCTCGAATGCGTGCTGGGAACACGTTCTCCTTACCATCCGGAAAAGCGTCCCGCGCAGCTATAAAATCAGCTCTCGGCAGCGACTGCAGACATGACAGGCGGAAATGTATGTGCTGTAAAATTCCCGTCACGCAGGCCGAGGAAGCGTCTAACGGATTTAATGAGGCGCGATGTCGAGCAATTAAAGACTGGGCGTTCTCCCGAGAGGCATCGATCTTGCAGCGCCACGTGGAGGTTCAACATCCGTCCAACAGGCGGTCAACAACCCGGGATACCAGGGGTTAGGACAGAGGTCCGCGTAGCCGCTGATCAGTTAGGAAAACAATGCGTCAATTACTTCATCGTTAAAAAGACGTTTCTCTATGAGCTGTTTCTCTATTCATGAGCATGTACATATGTGACAAACTGATGGAAATAGGCACGACAGTAACCAAATAAGACGCATCGATAGAAAATATTAAACCCGTTTCAGCTCTACTTCATCTATAAGCAAAGAGAAAAGGCGCCAGAAGTCAGATTATACTCCGATCGATCCCCATCATGATTTGGAAGCATACACATTTCCCTCCCAGGAGTACAATGGATTGAATTTTAACGACGGCCCGTGACGTCTCAATTCGCCGAGGAGCGGCCCATGGGCTGCGGTAATGACATGATGGCCGTGTCTGCCGTCCCCGGCCGGCCAATTTGAGTGCGCGCTCTGATTTATGGGAGCTGCAGTGGTCGCCGGCCGGCACGGCAGCGACTGGAGGCGGTGGTCGGTCCACACTCCACTAGTCTAGACGGCTGAGGAGGCTTTGACAGTACTACAGCGAGCGGCGCCACGCTGGGAGGCTGTGACGAGACTAAAGTTGGTCCACAGTCCACAGGCCACAATCCATGTAGTCCACAGGCAGGGGAGGGGGGGGGGGGCTGTGACAGGACTTTATAGGGTGGAGATGGTCACAACCACAGGGGTCACGTCGAGACTGCTGGAGACACATTATCATCATGGCAGGTACATAGCTAATTGCGTGCAACAAATGCGGTAAAGTCATCGGTGAAGATATCCATAAACGTCCGGGTAAGACACGAGATGACACGACATGAAGAACATGTGCATATTTTTAGACGAGACTGAACGAAAAAACAGTCGTTCCTACTCTGCTCAACAATAACTGCGATTTTCAGCACATCACAATGAACACAATGATAACATATTGTATCAGATGTAAATTAAAAGAAAATGCGTTACTTACCAGATTCAGTGTTCCAATGGCTCGAGGCTGTTATGCTTTTTTCAGTTCGATTCCGTCTGAGGAACTGTTAGTTTTTTTATATCCCTACTTATAAATGTCGCAGTCACTTCTCGTGACAGAGATTGAAGCCTCACTTCAAACGGCACACTGTCACTCACTGCACACCTGTAGCGCCCGTCTGCAATGGTGCCGTGCGTCCCGACTCCACACCGCCCCTCGTGCCGTCCTCTCCGGCGGCGCCTCACGCCGCGACTGGAGCCACGCGCCGCTTAGACCACCGCCGACCGACCACCGCGCTCCTGCCGACCGTCGGCAGTCGACTCGGCCGGCTCCGCCCGACGCGGGGGTACCCCGGCGACGACGGCGGCGCGGTGCGGGCCGCCCCTGACCCTGCCCGTGGCAGAGCCACAGGTAACGCACAGCGGTAGAAAGAAACGAGGGAGGGGGGGGGGGGAGTGGACCATTCGCAATGCCTGAACATCTTCGCTAAGCTTGAAAGGACCAACACTTGGGAATACAAATAAATTTATCTAACACATTTTATTGCGTTCTCGTTTCGTTTAAGATTACAGTTGTCAATGGGCGTTAATAGTTTTCGAATTGATACATGAAACTTTACTCTGTTTATCTCTTTGTTCTACTTTGGCTTACTTTGTGCATGTGATAGCTTGGAACCCCTCACCTTTCACAAGAGGGCTAAAATGAGTCGAAAGCATGACCTTCGCTTGAAATAGAGCAAACGGTAGCCGAGTGTTCTTCACTTATCCCCGGAACGCCGGCAATAAGTCAGCCAGTTGGTTGGCCGTCAGCTGAAATTGGTTCAGGAGGGTCCGTAGCTAAACGGGAATAACGCCGTACCAAACGAACCCCACTCGGTTGCGTTGGAAATAAATCGGTCGCTTACCATTAGGTGCATTGCAACGTAAGTATTCGGTGAAATCTCAAACAAAAAACTACCAAAAAGCGCCTTTTGTCCGGTTATACATCGTTCAGTTTGCTGTTATGCATGTGTCCTTGGGTACTCATTAGATCATTCTACATGAAAACCGACGCGTCTCAGTGCCTGGGAAGACCGGATCGCTGTCGCTGGTCGCCCCATCTCGGTGGAGTGTGCCTCTGTGTCACACCGTGACCGCTACAGCCCTTATAACGACTGGAATGGCGCACCATTCCATTCATTCTGCCCAGCCCACTGGACGTCGGCGTGAAGCAGCTCCCACGCTCCCATACCGCCTCACTAAAGACCCACTAAACATCGCCAATAGCCAGCTCTATTCCCGATCTGATACGACGACGAGCGTGTATGTCTTCGCGCTGCAGTTGTCAGAGCTGCCAGCGGGAAGCCGTCTGAAGCGGCGCACGGCAGCTGAACGTGCAAGCTCTGATGAAGTCTGATCTGAAAGATGACGAGTCTATGGGCTGTGAAAGAGACGGTAGTTTGAGTTACGTTTCTGCATGATTTGCATGGTATCTTATACCGCAAGACTTACGTATCTCACGAAGATATGCCGATTTGTAACCATGATATATGATCGATATAAACATCACACTTGCAACACACTTGTGGCCTACAGACACCACAGCACACATCACATACAGTATCAGGTACTCAAGACAACGACTAACTGTTATCCACCCCACTGACAACGTTGGAAACATTTCAAACTTTCAATGGTACCTCTTAAGTATATATCATGACATTAATCTTTTGCTAACTATGAGCGGCATTGAGCCAAATCCTGGCCCGCCATTAACACAAAATTTGAATGTGGCTCATGTAAATATCAATAGCGTGACGGCAGAAAACAGAATTGACGAACTTTTTCAATTTGTCGAAATTAATGATGTAAAAGTTTGTGCGCTTACAGAAACTAAATTAGATGACAGAGTTTCTCCCACATTATATAAATTAGGCGGTTTTCACGATCCTTTCACTAGACATAGAGACAGAAACGGAGGCGGAGTGGCCCTGTATGCCCACGCCTCACTGCCTATAAAAAGATTGACTGAGCTTGAATTGGAGGAAGAGGAATGGATATGGGCGAAAATTAAAACGCAAAATCAAACTATTCTTATTTGTTGTACATATCTGCCGCCAAATTCAAACGCTAATAGACTACAAAGTTTCATTGAACGTTTTTCGGAAAGCGTAAGCCTCGCTCAAAAACACTCACCAACTGTAACCATCATTTTAGGAGATTTTAACGCCGGGAACGTGTATCTCAACAACATGACTAATCACAGTGGTATCACGACCTTCGACCTAAGACTCCAAGACACTGCTAGCATGCTAGGACTCAGCCAACTCATCACACAACCCACCCGAATGACAAACGACAAAAGCAACTTACGTGACTTAATATTTACAGACAATACTGACATTATTATTGATAGTGGGATATTACCTTCGTTTTCACGTTTAGACCATTTCCCAATATTTGCGACTGTATGTACTGCTTTTCCACGACAAACGACAGACCTCACTCATAAAACGATATGGGATTATGCAAACCTTGACTCACAACTTCTTACCAGACTTTTACAAGACACTGACTGGGAACAAATTCTGGACAACGACATAGACACAGCAACCGAACTGTTTATAGAGGCTTTATCAAGTGCTGCCGACGCATCGATTCCAAAAAAGATAGTTAGAGACAAATTTCAAAAGCCATGGACGACAAACGACCTAAAAACACAAATAAGGAAACGCGACAGACTGTTCAGACGAGCCAAACAAACTCAGACTGCCTACGACTGGGACCGATGGAAATATCAACGAAACAAAGTGACATCGATGAACAAAAGGCTGAAGCGACAACACATCCAACACCAAGTGGAGAAACTTTTGACACTTAAGCACGACCCACGCAAGTACCACCAAACACTACGCACAATGACAGGACGAACACGCGACTACACTATTCCACCGCTAGAGGGACATAACGGAGACATATTAACTGACGACTTCGAAAAAGCGACGCTATTAAACAATCATTTCGCCAGTCAAGCGACGGTCGACTTAACCGGCACACACAGACATCCACTAAATCATGACTCAGACAGAACGCCGGTGCCCACTCTGGGTGAACTGATGACATCCGAGAGAGAGGTTCTCCAAATACTAAATTCACTCGATCCTAACAAATCAACGGGCCCCGATGAAATTCCAGTAAAACTTATCAAGTTAACCGCTCTCATCATCGCAGAACCATTGTCCAAACTTTTTAACATGTCACTAAGTCAGGGAATTTATCCATCGAAATTTAAAGAAGCAAACATAAAACCAATTTTCAAAAACAAGGGATCACCTTCTGACTACACTTGTTACCGTCCCATCAGTATACTTTCATCGTTATCTAAAGTCTTCGAAAAAATTGTCTTCAAGGGTATATATTCCCATTTACTGAATCATTCTCTTTTGACCGACAAGCAGAGTGGGTACCGGCGTAGCCACAGTACAGAACAACAGCTTTTATACCTGACTCACAACTTGTACAAATCACTGGACATGGGACGAGACTTTACTGCTATCTACCTCGACATTTCTAAATACTTTGACAAGATCTGGCATGACGGACTGTTGTACAAGAGTAAGCACGACTTCGGAATTACTGACTCACTTTTCGACTGGTTAAAATCATATCTTTGTGACAGGACACACCGAGTACGGATCAACAGCACATTCTCGGCCACTAAAACAATAAATGCGGGCTGCCCGCAGGGATCCGTACTCGGGCCTTTGCTGGCACTTATGTATCTCGACGGACTTTCAAGACGAATAAAGAATGACATTCTCTTTTTCGCTGACGACACATCTATCTACGCCTCGCACACGACAGCAGACATTGACGCCGTACAGCTATCACTACAACAAGACCTCATCGAAATCCACAAATATGGTCGAGAATGGGCAATTACATTCAACGCTACGAAGACCATCCAACAAACATTTTCACACAGACATCAGTACACACCACCAAAGCTCACTTTCGAGGGCGCAAACGTACCCATTCATGAAACTCATACTCACCTTGGCTTGACACTTTCTAAGGACCTACGCTTCCACCAACACGTCAATGCAATATGCAACAAGGTACACAAATCACTCAGTCCACTCTACTCCATTGCACGTTACATACCAAGGCCCATTCTCGACCAAATTTACAAGACGTATATAAGACCTTACTTTGACTACTGTGACACAATATATGACGGACACATAACAATACAAGACGCTGCCCGACTTGACACGCTACAAAACAGAGCAGGGAGACTTGTGACGGGGGCTATGTTCAGGACGTCAACCGAAAAACTTCTACAAGACTTGGGCTGGGACAAACTGACTGTAAGACGACAAATACACAAACTCACTTTATATCATACATTCACTAATCCAAGACACCAAACGCCAAATTATATCACGATGATCATGCCAGAAACACGTGCAGAAAACACCGGCAGAACACTACGCAACTCCAACACACACACCATGCCTCCCAACCGAACCACATCCTTCCAGAAGTCCTTTTTCCCCTCAACAGGCAAATCCTGGAACCAGCTTCCCGAATCCATCCGATCCCTTCCTCCTCGTTCCTTTCAACGAGAGATCTCGAGGCGACTGGGGGTGCCTGGGCCTTCTCCCTTTTACAAAATTGGCACTAAAATGGGCAATATTTTCCATTCTAGGCTACGAATGCAAATGTCACAACTAAATTCACATTTATTTCAAATACAAAGGCACGATACACCTGAATGTGCTTGTGGCTTTGAAACAGAAAATATTCATCATTTCATTCTCGCGTGTCCCAACTATAATTTGCAGAGAGAGGAACTTTACCGGGACATGTTGCAAATTTTTGGCGAAAATTTTGGTCAAATGTCAATTACACGGTTATTACGTGTTCTTTTGCATGGCGACGATCTTGGCGGCGGGGACTGTCGTGCGCAGGGGTGAAAAATTGTATCGTTTTGTCGTTGTCGACGACAACCGAGAAGACGATCCTATGGCGACCACGCGCAGCGCCTGAATAGACTTAGACCTTCCGCTTAGTGCGGTTAGTAGCGCGCAATCCATTCGCGTCTGCCCACCCAACCCAATCGCCTCTGCCTATACGCAAACCATTCTCTGCCCCTACCCCATCAAATCGACTTGCAGTTCTCGAGTCCGTTACCTCCCTACGCGGCGGCATCCCAGTGGAAAATTTCCTGGTAGTTACAGACATATTCCAA